TGCAGCAGGGATCCGAAAAGTTATTCAGGATCAAACATCTTAAGCATAGTCAATGTTTAGTAAAACACATGACAAAGATTTCATAACAACTCACTGAGGACAGGAAGGATGCCATAACAATTTAAGTTAGAGGAGGATGCAAAGATTTTTTTCAATTGCCCAAGATGGAACTTGTATTTAAAATTGATAGTTTCCTAAATATGACTTCATAAATGAAATAATTTTATCATCTGGCCAAACATCACTGCTTCCTTGCCTAAAAAGAGGTATTAATACTCGATCAGTACAAACAAGCATTACACTCATCCTTCAACTAAAAATAAGAATGTTGGGCAAGAAAGCAAATCCAGCTGGAAGATGTTTCCACAGGAAGTCTGACTGCCTCTGTCTTCCAATGAAAGTGAAAACCAAGAATCCTATTTATCTTTCACTGCTGTTACAACTTTTGTAACATTCCTGTGACCCTCCATGGTAATTTACCGTGAGAACTTCACAAAATTGTATTTCTGTACACAAGATACAGACAGATTGTTAGAACACACATAGCAAATCTTATCTGCCCTCCAGGAAACAGCAGTTTACCCAGAAAACTTGCAACAGAAACAAAAATCCTTTTGATACTCTAAAAGTTTGTGTTCCAGGACAGCTTGCTTGGAGGTGTATGAAGTCCATGAAAGAAGAAGGAACCTGTGCTTTTATTAATTCATTGAAAAAACTCTTCTTCAAGGCAGACTTGAAACTGCAAAACTTTCTTTGTTGAAAATGCAGACATTAATCCTGATAAATACTCAGATCTGACTGATCGTGGCTGAATAACTGTGAGAAAATGACAGGTAGTACTTGAAAAGGGAGTCTTTCAGTGAAAAAGACTGAAGGCAAAACATCTACTATTGGTACCCTTTTGATATATTTTCAAACAGCATGAGACATGTTCCCAAAGAAGGAATTTATGACCCTTAAGTAAGAGTGATTTCTAATGGTGAGGATTTAACATTGTCCAGAAAGGGCCATACTGAGTTAGATGTGGAAAAATCACTGAAACCTCTTCTGAATTTGATGTAATTTGGTAAGATGCCTTTAGACACACCAGTGGTAATATGTCTTCCACAGTGTTTTCAGCTTCCTATGGCAAGAACAGATGTATCAATAAAAGAATACTAACCAGGTAGCAGAGGTATCAAAACCCCACAATTAATCTCAGTTCAGATGTTTTTAGATAGCACAAGATTAAATTAACTCTTCATCTGGCATTACGCCTTTTGGCATCTAGATTGATCTTAAAAGGCTCTTAAAAAGGCACAGTAAATGATACAGTGTTTTTGAAGTTTTTGAAATTTTCATCCATTGTCAAGCTTAATTCTCATTTCCTGTTGTGTAAATCCCAATTTGATTACTAGTGCCATGGATTACTAGTGCCATGTCACCTTTATATATTGTGCGCATCTCCTCTGCACTGGAGTGGAAAGGTAATGTGTTTCTCATGGGAGACTCTTAACGAATGCCATTACATGGTAATCTTGAAAATGCATCATTACACAGTGGGGTAGAAATTGCAATTACAAACAAGAAGCATGAAAAAAAAATCAAATTTACAAAGCCAAACATTTCCATGCCTTGAAAAAAGATGCACAGCACAGCCACATGATCCCTTTGTTATTGGTTCAGTAATTCACCAATTAGATGTGAACTGAGCCAGGGAATCCATGAGGACTCTGACTGACCAGATTGACCTCGCAAGCGAAAACACAAATGAGCACTACAGCCAAACTGACTTCTACCTGGAGCACCGCACATTTGCAGCAGTGCTATTTCTAGTGTCAGTGGTAAATGCAAATAGGAATCATTTTAGGCTGCCATAAACATTACATTGCCTGCATTAGGGAGAGCACAGCCAGCAGGAGGCAGAAGGTAATGCTTCCCCTCTACTCAGCACTGGTGAAGAATCTGAATTTCTGGGTCTAAGCCTGGGCTCCTCAGGACGAGGGAGAGGCATGGACTTACTGTAGCAAGTGCAGCAAAGGGCTGCTAAAATGGTTAAGGGACAGCAGCATCTGATGTACAAGGAGAGGAGGAGACAGCTGTGACTGTTCAGACTAAGGAAAGGGAGGCTCTTGGAGATCATATCCACAGGTATAAATATCTAATGAAAGAGAAAAGAATAGGGAGCTGGACTCTTCCCAGTGGCATCCTGTGTAAAGACAGGAAGATGTATATTTCACAAATTGAAATACAGGAAATTCCTTTTAAATATAGGAAAATAACCTTTTTTTTTGCTGTGAAGGTTGTCAAACACTGCAATGTGATGTTTAAAGATGTTGTGGAGTCTTCGTCCTTGAAGACACTAGAAATTTGGCTGAACACCATGCTGAACAATGAGTTCTACTTCACCCTGCTGTGAGCAGCAGGGCTGGATTAGTTCAAGTCCAGAGGTAACTTCCAGCCTCATCTTTCTGCCATTCTGTTATCTGCCAGCATCTCCAGTCCCACGGTGCTGGTGCCTGAAGCCATCCAGGCTGAGCCATGAGCTGCTCAGCACCACAGCTCTGGGCTGCAGCTTTCTGTATTTTCAGAAATTTCAGTTGCCATGGGGGAGATGATACATTTGAGAGGTGCTTCTTTGAAGACATCTGATTTGAGAACTTGAATTAAATACAGCAGATGTCAGTAAATGGCAGTTTAGGAGTGTTAATTATACTCTGAATTATGATGCCTTTATATTTCATTATACATATATCTTAGCACTATTTCATATAATACAATATTTCCATCTTATTGGTCAAAAAAAACACACTTTATTTTATGGAAGAAAATTAAGAAAATTATGCCATTTTTAAGTGTGACATAAGTGTTCCTTAAATAAAATGTGATATCTTTTTTGCTATTTGTAGGATCTTATGAATCTTATGGAAGGAATTTTTTTCATTGAATTTTGTTTGAAGAACTAACTTTCCAATGACTACAGTAAAATGAATACTGCCTTGTATTAATACTTCAATTAATATAATTTGAAATACTCTTCGCTTCTTTCAAATACACATTGCAAAGATCCTATTCCTAAGCATGTTCTTTGTTTATTCGGTGCTAGTACACACATAACAAGTGACAGGGATGAACAGTGGCTTTCCAAGAACTATGGGAGATCTTTGTGTGCTGATGATTCAGCTCCTCACCAAATGTCCACATTCGCTGTTCTTGTCCAGCGTTTGTCACTCTGGTCACAGCCGGTTTACACTGCAGTGATCATCATATCTAAATCTGCATGGCACATCCTGGAATAGGAATTCTTTGCAACAGAAGCTCTTACTCCTTTTGGTATAGAAACCTGATAATGGAATTCACTTCTATCAGTTGCTCAGAGATGTTTGTACTTTTTTTTTTTCCAGAAATGTCTGGTTCCCCGAGGCAAGAAAAGTGAGACTGAAAAGCCAGTTAGAGTAGTTTGCAAATGAGGGCAAACATTAGCAGGCCCTTGCCTTGAGACTAATTTTTGTTTTTGAAGGCAAGACACTGCATCAATGCATTATCTATTAATACAGTAGTTTTATGAGGTACACAATGTCCTATGCTATTTATCACTCAAGTTTCATATTGCTTGTCAATGACTTCAGAAATGGCAACAAATTGGGCTTTGGCAGATTATTTTCCGTTGACTAACTGGTGGCTGAAGGAATGAATCACTTCTTTAGCTGACAGATTTCTTTTAACATGGCAGGCAGGAAGCATGGTGTGAAGCAGATATATTTATTAAACCATCTTTCAGTTCTGACAGTCAGGGAGGCAACAAAACATTCACACCTTAAGTTTGATAACCTCTCTTGCATAAAGTTGGTTTGTTCAAAACCACTTGGAGATGTGATACTTTTATTTCAGTTGATTTTGACACTTGCTTCCACACAATCTTATTAAGGTGCAATAGTCAGTGAGTGACAAGAAATAATACCCCTTTTCTCTTGCTGTGTAGGTATGGTGCTCCTCCAAACTTATCCTTCAGCTTATGACAGCTGTTTTTCCTGGTGAAATTTTCTGTTTGCTTCCATGTGACTTTATAAGGCAACTGTTCCTACTGTGAACTTAGTCACTGTTAATTGTCCAAGCCCAACACAATTATCCTCCTAGGCTTCCAAAAACTATCCATTGGTTCCATGCAGTGAAAATATCATGAAAATGCCTTGGCAAAGATTTAAAATTTGTTGACTTATCATTCTTGTGGCATACAAGAATGAAGAGCACAATTTCAGACCTGGGCAACGCTCTTCAAGGAGTGTTTTATGAATTTGTTCTCTAAATTGAAGTTGGCCATCTGATATGCTGATGTTGTGTAAACGATTCTTTTTTCTGTGCCTATCTGGAAAGGCGTTTCCCTTCTTTCATTGCTTAGGTATGAGCTTAAATAGTAGCACTCCAAGGCAATAGTAAAAAAGGTAAGCATCACATATTGCACGGAATATCATTCGCAACAAGTAAATATAAGCCGTGGTAGAGAAAATGCGAATAAAACAAACATGGCAGCACACGTTTCCGAACAGAAGGGTATGTGGAAGGATTCTGGTGTGGAAAAGACGCCAGTAAGCACAGCGGCTTGCCCCCATGACACAGGCGCTACTCGCCGGAGCCGCAGGCAGAAGCTCCCGGCTGCGCAGACTGGCATCTCTCGAAGCCCAAGCCCGCAGGGCGAGCGGGCACTGGCGGGGCGGGGGGCGGCGGAGGGCAATGGGGGGCGGCGGAGGGCAATGGGGGGCGGCGGGGAGCGGCGGGGAGCGGCGGGGGGCGGCAGGGAGCCCGCGCCCCGCTCGCAGCCCGCGGCGCCCCGCGCCTCCGGCCATCCCCGCGCAGGGGCCGCTCCGCTCCGCGCCGGCGGCGGCCGGCACGACTGGCACAGGACCGGCGCGGCTCCGGCGCGGCTCGGCGCGGCTCGGCACAGCCATCGCGCCGCCCCCGGCCGCCGCCCCCGCCCCGCCGCCGCCCTGATTGGGCCCGCGGGGAGGCCCCTCCCGCCCGGGGCCGCCGGCCGCGCCCGCTCCCCAAATACACCTTGGCGGCGCCGGGGAGCGGCGGCGCCTGCCCTGAGCCCCTCGGCGGGGCTGCGGCCGCGGGCACCCGCGCCATGGTGAGTGGCGAGGGGCGAGGCGGGCAGCGAGCGGCGCCGGGGCGCGGGAGGGGCGGGGGGACCCTGGACAGCGCTGGCACGGGCGCCGGGCGCACGGCGGGGCGCGGCCGGGGCCGGGGTCCCTCCGGCCGGGCGGGACCGGCGCTGAGCCCCGGCGGCGGGCGGGGGCAAGGCAAGCCTTTCCCGTGAGCGCCCCGAGCTTTCCCGTGCGCGCCGAGCCCCGAGCCAGACATGGGCGTGAGCGAAACGGGACCGGTCCGGGGCTGGCAGCGCTCTTGGAGCCCGCCGAGGGCTCCAGCCACGAGCGCTGCTCCGGCGGCCTTTGTGCGTTGTGAGGCTTTCTAAGAATTCGCGAATTGCTGATGCTCGTCAAGCTAATCAAAGCCATTCAGGCTGGTGTTACTGCGTTATGCTTAGGTAAGGTTTCTTACCCGGTTTTCAGAGCAATTTCTGCCATTCCACCTCATGAATTAGACATCAACGTCATATTTCAGCACATACTTGCTGCTCTAACAATAACTTCATCTCTGCATCTGCTATTCCAATTATTTCTTTTTCCTAGGAAGAATAAATGAACCCCCAAACTGTGTTGCATTTGTGACGATTAGCAGTTTTTCAGTCAATTTTCTCCCTCTTCTTTTCATTTCAAGACTTCAGGCTTGTAATCCCTTTTCTGAGTGAATAGGTTTGTTTCTATGGCTAAAGCTTACTGGGCATTACTAGCTTACATTTAGTATTCCCTTTATAAAACCATCACTATCTATAGTCATCAGGCACTTGAAAACTTTTTTCTCTCATATATAAAGGAGTGCTTTTATACATCTTTTAAACATCTTATATGTGAAGCTTGATCTAATGCTGATTCTAAAATGGCTTTTTTTTCAGAGCTGATCACTTATTCTGGGGATGTAGTAAGATGGCTTTCTAAGTTCGAAGCATGATTTAACAGGGAAGAAGTCATAAGCAAGGATGCAGTGTGTCAGTAATGCTGTATTTGGGCTTTTCACTTCCACTGGACTACAGGTTACACTGCGCTGCATGTGGGTTGGTCTAAAGAGATGGTCAGACATTTGCTATTTGGAATACTAGTAGGAAAACCAAAATTTTTATTCACTTGGATTTTCCATTATTAAGTCAGAGAATACAGAATAATGTAATAGAGGAATATTTTCATAATAAATGTAAGAATTTAATTATATTTGTATGAATAGAACAAGGTGTTTTACTTATTTGGAAGTGGTCTAATCTTAGAATTTTTCCTAAGACAAAACTCCCAGTAGAGCCACTCCCTTTTCTTGTAGTTAGAATTAAGATTATATGTTTCCAAACTACAAAAAGCAGTCGTAAGGAAACATATACTTTAAATCATATAAATGGGTCTACTACTTTTCTAGGGTCAGGAACAAAAGGTGGTGACAGCCTGTACTGGGAAGAGATTCCTGTAACAGACCATTTTACATAATTAACCAGAGAAGATAAGCAATTCAGGCATCCAGAGAATGTATGCAAATGTGTTACAAATGTTCTCTTTGGAGAGAAGAGAATTGTAGAGAAGTTTCTTGCTTGGATTGTGTTGCTCTGGGGTGTTACATATGGCCATACGTTCTGATGACTGTTCTCTTTGCTTTGCCAGTAGCAAGAACCTTAAATGAACCAGGTGATTGTAAGGAAGCACGAGGAGTACTGTAGCAGTGAAAAAAAAAAATAAAAAGCATTTGCTGAAATCATACTTATCCAAAGCAGGCAGGAAAAGTATGGAAGGAGAGAGAAGGAAAGCACATATTCAGAATTCCTGCTTGTACTTCCTTTTTCTGGGGAAATATGTACCTTGCAGCTATCATGAGTCATGACAATGCAAGATCATGAGGCAAACATTGGAGGACAAGGTAAGGAATTTAGTTCTACTGGTGGTTTTTTTCACCTTTTTTGACACCAATAAAATGTCGCACCAAGGTCTTGATGTCTTCTCTTCCACTGGTTCACTTGCTGAGTACTTACTTAAATGAATCAAATTTTTTAATAAAACACAAAATGAGAAGTCAAGGTCCATAAAAGTAAGTACTCAAGTTGAGTATATTTGTCTTATTGGGATTAATGCTTTCTTTAAAAAAAATCTGTCCTTACTCTATGACAGTTTGTTTCAAAACAGATTCCACAGTGAAATCAAAACATAAGTAAGAGTTGATAATAAAATCTAGTATGCCAAATATCAGTAGCAGTCAAAACCTGGTTATGTCATGCCATAAATGATAAAATATCAGTGCTGTTACGAATATGAATGCCATCTGTTTAAAATTCTAAAAAAAAATAATACCAAGATTCAAAATAAGTAATCCAAGAAGCAAAGATAAAATTTGTAGCAAACACAGCTATTTTCCTTGTAACTGAAATGAGTTGTTAACAAAAAATCCTGTAGTATTGTACTTTAAAAAAAAACCCCAAAAACTAAAACCCAAGCACCTCAGTAATCTAAGCAAGCATATGATAGATTATTCTAAATTATCTGCAAGGAAATATGTGTAAGGAGGTACTGGCTGTATTTCGTATCTACTTTCTAGACTAGCAACAGGTTTTAAATTTTTTTATAAAAGCTTAATAATTTAAGAAAAGTTCTGTATAGGTAAAAAACCCCTTATTTTTAAAAAAGTATTGGAAAATATAGGGTATGGTTTAAAGTATTTTGTTGTAATGTTATTTAGAAATCATTACATTTCAGATTGCACATTTTATTAACAAATAAAATTTGGGCCATTGGAGGGCTGCCATTAGAGTTTCTTTGTTGAGATTTCTTGCACTTTTTGTCCTATTTACTTTTTAAAGATCTTTATTGTCTACATGTCTTAAAATTTACTGCATTTGTGTAGATGTTTGCCATTGCAATTAAGATTTTTAGCATTTGAAATTAAATTGGGATCAAATCTCATATTTGACATTACTTTGAATATTCTTTCTAGCATGTTTTCACCATTTGAGATGAAGCTGTATGATGTTTGTATATTGCATGTATGATGTATATTCAGTGTGTCTTCCATGAATAGTTGTATGACAAGTAGAGATTCAAGTTTATCATTAAACATGTTATATTTTTAAGTCAGTTCAAGGCATGGGTTTTCATTCAACAAAGGAACACTGTTCAGGGCAGAATGAACAGTCTATTTATTTAGGCTGTTCATTAAATTAAATCTATTTAATTTTAAAATTACAATAGGATTTAAGCATGTGCTTAAATTGATTATGGCTTCTAGCTATGGTATAAACAACAAATTAATTTTTACTAATAAAGGCAGCAAAATTTGCTAGATAAAGCAGATTTTCTATAAGGTTTTTGTTTATAGATTCACATGCTTTGAGACAACTGAAAAAGCCATGTAAATATTTATAATTAAGCCCTTTACTTGTGCCATAAATACTGACTGCAGCTCATTTAGTGATATGCTGTTCTCCCATTTTTTTGGTTGTCCTAATCAGGTGATGGCAGTTGTAGGTCAGTGCTAGGAAGTGGCTCACCACACAGGATATTTATTTTTGTAGATGTGGTGTCAAGAGCAAGCTGACATCTACTCCCTTTCTGTAGGAGTGCACATTTCACTGTTCTGCTGCTTCATGACCTAAGACAGAGCAAATACGATCCCTACAGATTACTTCACCTCAGAGAGGCTTCACCATGTCCTGTTCATTGATTCAGACCCCAGGCACCTCTGTGAGCTTCAGGACCTCCACAGGCCTTCAGTCTTTAGGAGAATCCTACCCTATCAAAACATAATATTCTGTGATACTGCCTTCCACTGGTTTCTCATTCATGTTTCCTATTATATGATAGTTTTGTTAAGTGGAATAGATGACCTTGCTAAGAATACTGCTGCTTTCAGATTTAGTTGGCATTAATTGTATTTAACAGGCATTCTCATTTGATTCAAATGCCCCCTTCCATGGTTCAGACCTTTACTGCTACGTTTAAGCACTCTCCAGCTACTTGAACTTGGCAGCATTGTGGTACACATTATTCTTGATTTTACTGCTCTGACTCTTTAAATTAGTTCCTTTGTATTACTTAAAGTCAATTTGTGAATTGATTTTCCTCTTGCATATTCACTATTCACACTCGAAGTAGCTGTTCCAAGGCAATGGTGCCCTGCTAGCAGAAGTATTCAAATGAACCCCCTTGTGCAAGTCAACCCCAGGAGGATAATTCCTTTCAAGGAGGGAGATGATAACCAAACTGTGACTTTGTGTTATTTTTGAGAGAGTATTTCTTTCATGAGAGCCCCTGTCGCTACTTCCTATGTATCTGCCTGTGAACAGAGGCCCCGGAGCTGTCTGGAACCCTCCCTTGGGATGGTTTGGCTATGCCTTGCACTTCACGCATGGCTATGCCCATTGATTGTCTCAGCTAAGTCCATATAGAAAATAGGTCAGCCGTGCAGTGGCTCAGGAAGAAAGCTTTAATGTGTAGTTGTAATCTAGAAACAGGACATGTGTGTCATTTTGGAGGAGACTGCAACCGCTTCCAAAGATGTTATCAAGCATCGTGGAATCTAGCCCTTGGACAGCTATTTGTATTAGAGAGCTGCAGGGAATATCCCGTGCAAGTCATCCAATTTCCTCCCTGTGAATAAAGTTAAAATTTATTGTTAGAAGGTTGCATGCTAAAATTCTTTGATTATGTTCCCCTTCACATATGGAAATTGAAAGAAACATACATTTATGAAGTGAATCGGTTCCTCAGCCCAGTTCTGAGTTGTTCAGAACAAAATTACATCATGCTTTTGGGTAAAATATATTTTGGGGAATCCTCATGGTGGAATTCTTGAGTGTCACTGATTCAAGAGAGTGCAGTAAAACTTGTGGTTTCTGTGTACAGTACCTGCTGCTCAACTCTCCACTTCTAATAAATAGGGGCACAGAAACAAGTTTCTCAACAGTATATTAGACAGAAGTGTGTTGTGCAGTGATGACTGCCTTTCTAATGCTGACCAAAGTAAATGTGTGTTTAATTTCAT